CAGCCCGCAGTGTTCTTCTTTGCACACCTGCCTAGTTAGCTCCGGAACGTGGGGGGATGGAGTCCCGAGGGGAGGGCCAGGTGCTTTTTTAGGTCTTAGGTACATTCTGGCAAGTCATCTCCCAGAAACACAGCCATGGTGGTGGGAACACCTGTGTCAGAAACCCCGGCACACAGGGAACCTCTCGCCTCTGTCCTTACCTGTCGACTCTACACTGGCGACGCCTACAGCTGGTGCCGGTTCTGTCCTCTCCCCCAAGTCAAACCCCGTCTCCCTGTCCACTAACATCTCTACCTGGACATCCTGACACACAGCCCATCCGGAGCCACACTCCTCTCCCGACCTCCCAGGTGCCCAGAGCGGCCTCTCCTCCTCGTCCGGGGGTCCTCCCCAGGCCTCTCCCCATCACCTATCACCTCCCTCCTGGCCATCTTCACTGTCACCACCCCCAAGCCAGGGCACCGAGCTTCTGCCCCATCTCTCTGCCCTCTTCAGTCTGTCTGACCCGCCACACGAACAGCCGCTCACTCCCGGCCAGTGAAATGCCAACTCCGCACATGATCCTCACTCGGGTTCCACCTGCAGCCCGAGTCCGCTCGGGGGGACTGTCACTGTTCCTGGGTCTAATGACACAACCTGTGTTATTCCCCCACTTCACACGCCCGGGCGCCGGGACCCCTGCTCCCTGCGACTGCCCCCTCTTCCCCTCCCGCCGCCCCCCGCAACCTGAAATGGGCGCGTGCTCATCACTTCATCCCCCTCCTCCGCGTCCCCAAGGCTGGCCTGGCGCTTGCTCACCCTTGTTGGTGTCCTGCTTCCTGTGCTCCCGGCCTCTCTGCTAGCCACCCTGTGAGCTCCTTGAAGGCAGGGAGTGCGCCTCCCTCTCTGTGTCCTTGGGGTCTAATCCTTGCCCGATTCCAACAAGGAAAATGTGCCGAAGAGAAATGCTGTCCTGTCCTTTATTAGATTCACCCAGCGAGCCCGGGCTGTCGGAATCTGATTAGCTCTGAATTAGGAAGGACAGCAGGAACCTGCTCTGCCCCTGGGCCTGCCACGCCTCTCTCATCCAAGGGGGACGAACAGCAAGAGCAGAGGGGGCGCTCAGGCGGCCAAGGACGGTCCCGGGGACTCCGAGCCGCTCGGTGGTGAGGCAGCCAGAGCCAGTGTTGTTCCTGACCAACCAGTTTCCTAAGGAGACAGGCAGAGTGGAGGGGAGGACGGGGACTTCATCACTAGGGAACCCCTACTCTGTCCTCAACACCCCCCACGTCCTCCCATGTAATCTTTGCAATGACACCATGATAATAGCATTATCCCCATTTGATGGATGAAATCGGGGCTCAAAGAGGATAAAGGACGAGCCCCAAATTATCAGCAGCAAGTAGCTGCTCAGCTCAGTTGTCTGTTGAGCAGCTCCTACAAGCTGGACGCCAAGCCGAACTCACTGCCGGAGGCTGGAACCACACAGGAGAGGCCCTGCCTGCAAGGGGCGAGTAGGTAACTTGCAGAGCAGATGCAGATTTTAAAGTAAAAGGGCAGTAAGAATTCAAGCCACGCGTTAAACTCGGGCTCCAAGAGCACTTCCCTCCTGAAAACGCTCACGCGGTGCCCCCTCTGGACCGCCTCGGATTGGCTGTCTGTGGGTGTTGTGACTTTGCCCATTCTGATGCCCAGTCACTAGGGTACAGCTGTCACACTTTCCAAATACTGAAGCCAATCCCGGATCTGAATGGGTGTTGGCCAAGGAAGGTGCTTTGAAGCAGGGCTCCCCATCCTCCTCACCCTGGGGGAACCATGCTCCTAAGGCCGTTTAAACCCATGACCACTGGCGCCCCCTGTGGGCTGAAAAGCCAGCAGGGTGGGAACAGAAGGTTAAGAGAGCAGGGATGGCAGAAGGCTCGTGTCCAGATCTTCGTGTCAAATGCTCCAAAGGCAGCCCTCCTGGTCCACATGGACCCCTGGTAAGTAGGCATCCAGCCAGAGACAAAGAATGACCTTTGGAATTACGGAGGCCCAATCTGTTTCCTCCGTCCCCTTCCAAACTGAGGGTGATTCTCAGCCCAGGTATGAGGGACGACAGGAAAACTCACACCAAGCAAGACCAGCCTACCTCTGGCAGGCCTGCGCCTGCCGCCTACAGGTGACCTAAGCGTGAAATACGATCTAAGCGTGAAAATCCAGATTTACAGAAAAGACAGAGCAGTGAGTGGCTCTGTGTTTTGTAGACGATGAGCTGGAGGATGCCATCGGCAACGGCACTTCCCCCCTTGCTTATTTCGTTCAACAAAACTGACAACCGATCTTTGTGCAAAGAGGGGCTGCTTCCGATGATGTCGGGGGTTCAGAGGAGACATTTCCAGGCTGGACGGAATCCCACCTACCCACAAGCACATTTGCATTTGAAACTGTGAAATCATTTGAGACGCTCTCCCTGGTAAGCACATGCCTTGGGGTCATGCTCCTTCACTTCCCAATGGGGAGAGCAAGGACACTCTTCGTCCTTCTTTCCCAGCTGGGTTGGCCCCCCAGAACTCTGGGCCTCCCCTGTTCCCAGAGCGAAATGTGGGCGGCAGCTTCGAAGGCCTGGAAGCAGACGCTCTCCATCCCAAAGGCTTCCTCTGCCCAGACCAGTCTTGGAGCCGGAGGGGCCCATGCGGCCCCTCGCATGGCCCCCGCCCTTCCCCTGTCAGAGCACAGGACGTGGCGCCAGACCCTCGCAGCTCCTGCACAGCCGCTCCCCCCCCCATGTCCACCTGAGCCAGACTCCACTTAATGAAATCAACCGGGACCGGAGCCACCCGCAGGGCTCGAACGTGCTGAGCGTCACTCTCCCTCCCCATGCCACTGTTTCATTAAAAGGTCGCCAGGCCTAATCTCATTGTGGGGACCAGACACTGCGCACGTCCTCCGGCCTGGCCACTGCCCTGCTTATCAACAGCAGGCCTTTAACTGGGTTAGAGAGACTGTGTTGGGGGTGGGGCTGGATCTTTTCTTGATGGGCAGGGGGGGGGGGGGGTAAAGCTCAATTTAAAAGAGGCATGGGGCCTGCCGGCCACGAGTTTGACATGCTAGCCCTAGAGTGTCCTAGAACAGTGATCGCCAACCGGTGGTGCGTGAGGTCCGAAAGGCTGGCGACCACTGTCCTAGAAGATGATGGAGGAATGGCAAAACGAGGGCTGAGCTGCGAGGCAGGGCACTTTCTTACCAGCCCACCTCCCAGGAGCCCCCAGGAAGAAAGCTAAGCTGAGAGTCAGACACGGAGTCCAGTTCCCCATTAGGTACAGGGGACTCAGTGCCAGGGCTCCATTACTTGTAGGGACCCTCCCCCTCAAAAAAATGTCTTGATTTCTGTTGAAATCAGGAGGAAAAATAAAATTTTAGGGTTGAAGAAAATGTTTTAATTTTTAATCCAGTCTGGATTATATTTGTCTTTAAACCTACACAGTCATAAAACATCATATTTACTTACTATAGTTTTTATGGAGGAAGGGGTCCGCAAAGGCCCATGGGAGTCACAGTGCAGCCTGGTCAGACGTGTGGCTTCAAAGCCAGCCCCAGTTCGACTGTGTGCTCCCAGGCAGCCCCGGTCTCCCCTCTGAGCCCGCTTCCTCGGCCATAAGGAGGAGGACACCGAGGTCCACTTTACTGGCCTGAAGCAAAGATGAGGTTTGGTCTGTACCCGAGCCTCGCACGCTGCCTGCCACGCAGTAGGCATTCAGGCAACAGCAATCGAACAAAAGCTACTAGTAAATCTGGTCTTAGTAGGAAGAGCCACATTTCAAACGCTGTTGACACCCGTGGTTTGGGGCTACAGAGAACCAGGTGGCGCAGACAGCAAGACCCCCTCTAATAAAGCCACACTCCCCTCTGTCCATCATCAGCCATCCACTGAGCAGAGCCCCCCCCCCAACCCCCGGGATCTGGGGTGATTCTTTCACCAACGCCTTCCACTGCTGCCGAACCACCCCAAGCTGTGCCTGCCAAGGGAAGCAGTGGGACAGGAGGTGGTTGCACTCTGGGTTCAGGAGGCTCCTACACGGGGGTGAGGTGGTCGCAGCCCTTCCTCTTATGGGGCTCATCTTACACGTTGCTTGTATTTTCTGCCTCAATCCAATTTCACAGGAGAAACCAAGGTACCTACAAGAAGGTGGCAAAGCTTTTTTTGTGTGTTTTTTTTTGCTCTGAAAATACAGGGACAGAATCGAGCTTCATTTAATGAGCCTTAGAAAATTCTCCAAGACCAACAAGGTGGAATGAATGAGAGGAGAGGGGCAACCACTGGGGGGGGAGAGGTGTGGCAGGGGTGCCAGCCTCCGATGACCTGCCAGGACTGCAGGGCCCACGTGGATCTCTGGCGGTGCCCTGGGGGAAGGGCCGGCAGAGAGGGGTGGTGCCTTCCCAGCCGGCAGGTGTCAAAGGCCTACGTCGCTCAGTTCTGCACCTCCTGTACCACAATTCACGGCCCACCCAAGCCAACCCAAGCAGTCAGGATTTCCCAAATGGTTAACTCCCACTTTCACACCAAAAAGCTGAGGATGTTAGTTTGGAGGAGGGGATCTAGACACGCCAGCCCTGCCACAGGGGCAATAAGGAGAGAAGCGAGGCGGCGGGAGGCACAATTTGGCCGTCTGTGTCTCAGGTTTCAGAAGACCAGTCGTGGCAAAAGGTGGTTGATCCACTTCTGTCTTCTCCCTCCTTCTACCCCGGCCAGGGAACAGGGCCCAATCTCAGCCATAGGCCCTTCCATTCCAACTTCCGCGGAGACTCGCACAGAGGAAGCCCGGGGCCGAAGGCTGACCGCCCGGGAAGGGGCAGGGCACGCTCTTTACCCTCGGGCCTCGCTCGGTGGTCCCCGAGCCCGGGAAGCAGGGGAGGCGAGAGACAGGTGCGACCGCAGGTGCGGCCCACAAACACCCGCTGCGCTCCGGGAGCCGGGCCTGCTCGGCGCGATCGGGCGCACCTGGCCCGCCGTCCCCACCCGCTCTGCGCCCTCCGCCCCACACACGCACACACACACCTGAGCCCCTCCCGACCCTCGCCGGGCGCCGCTCCCCCAAACCCGGGCCGCCTACCTGGCCGGGTGCCGGGCCGCGAAGCTGGTACCCGCCTGCGCCGGGACTCCCACCTTGCCCGACAGCTCCGCCGCGCCGCGCCGGGGCCGCTTCTTGCCGGTTCCGCGAGTCGCGCCGCCCTTGGAGCCGCGGCGTCGCCATGGCGACCGGGCGGCGGCGAGTTGGCGGCGCCGCGGCCGACGCGACGAAGGTCAAGCGCGGGGATGGGGGGGCGTCGCGGGGTCCGGAAGTGCCCCCAATGGTCCCTGGATCTCGGGACAGGGTCCTGTCACATCCGAGCCCCAACCTGGAGTCCCGCGTGGCAGGGGCGCAGGATGCTGGGGGGCGCGCAGGCGGCCCCCGCCACCGGCCTTCCAGACCCAGCGCAGGTAACCTTCTAATCCGGGGTCTCCCACGTTCGGGGGCGCATGGTGACCTGCGACCCCGTGGGTGTGGAGGGGCCTTCTCGGCCCAGGCTCCTCGGAGGCTGCGGGCCAAGCTGCAGGGATGGGCGGGGCGGGGACGGGCCAGGTGCCCGGGAAGGAGCGCGGCCAGATTTCCTCCCTTTCCTCCCTTCACCTTCTGCTTTGCCCTCGCCCCGCCCTGGTCTCAGGTGGCCACTAGGTGTCAGACGTAGCCCGGGCCTTGGCCCACGTTGCAGCCACGAAGGAGATGTTTCTCTGCTGGAAAGCAGGACACCCCGCCCCCCCTTCCCCAGCGCGCGTGTGCACACACACACACACACACACACACTAACGTTTTGCCCCTTTCCCCAAGCCAGGGGGCTTTGCCTGAGACAAACAGGACTACCCAACCCCCCAGGTCAGCTGACCTAAGGATGTATACAAATCGGTCCTTCCCAGCCTCTCATGAAGGCCAGGGGATGTGGGGGGAGGGCCGGGACGGCCAGGCCAAGGTTAGAGGCCAGCCCCTACTGCAGCCCGGACCAGGTTCTTTTCCCAGGAAATGCTGTGGGTAGATCACAAGTCCCGCCCAGACTTCCTACAAGCTTAGAACAAAAGGCCCTTTCCTGTTGAATGCCTGGCAGGGAGACCCGCGTGTGAGCTGCTGGGTAGGTTGTCTCCAGAAGTTGATGAATTCATGG